CATTTTCCCTAGATCCCAGACAAAAGTCAGATAAAATATGTTTGAAGATGGAGATTCATTCGAGCAATATGCATTTACTCTGGAACACAGTACTGTCAATTACCTTTTGGAGTATTTCACAATTCCTAGTTTTAGCAATTTCTTCCAGCCCTGGTTGGACTTTGGTGATGAACCAGCACCCTGGTCCAAACCAACATTTGACTGCAACCACAAAGGGAGCAGAATTTCAGCAGTGAAACAATTTGTCTGACTTTTTCATCCTTTGTTTCTTCTGTTAGTTTGTCATCATTCCTATTTCTATTAAGAAGTTTAACTTAGTGTCACTAGAGCAGATTTTTCCCCCCTGCAGTCCACTGACTTGTGATAGGTGGTTGTTACTTGCCAGCAGATGAAAAGTGACTTAATCTTTTGCCATCAATATTTCCAGTTTTATCAGCAAGTGCATCTTGACACTCTTTCCCTGCCCCATCAAATGACGAGGGTTCCACCTAGAAAGGAAGCCCTTCAAACAGAACACACTGAAAAATACCACCCCAGAGGCAATTGGAATATAACTCCAGGGTGGCAGATGACTTTAAAAAAAAAAAAAAAGAAAGAAAATTATAAGCCTAAGTGTAAAAAGTTTATCATCCAAATTTAAGCACCTGTTTTCCCCACCATTTAACATCTTCCAACATGACAAACTGTCCATGGTTCCTTTTCTCTCACAGCTGATAAATTGTTCTATTTCTCCACCTTTACCATTAAGGAAATCAAAGCAAAAGCTTTGTAATTCATCAAATCCTCAAACGGCAGCAGTTACAGCAGAAGAGGCGGGCTTAAGAATCAATATGCTTTTCACTTGTGTAAGCATTTTAACATACTGTGAAAATTAGCTTGTTAGGAGATTTTCTTTTCACCACTGTGTTGCAGCTCCAGAATGAAAACCAAGAATAGGCCAAGTTCTAAATTGTAGAGTATGGCACTATTAAACATTTATCTACTACTGCAACTACCTTACACCTTTCCATTATGCAAAAGGTGGGTTGATTCACAATAAAATTGAATGAAGCCTGACTATTCTGGTAGTGATGTTTAATGCTTGCCCACTCACCTCATCACTGGACTTAGAGAAATCTTAATATGTATAATAAGACCTTGGAAAAGCCTCACCTGTGATCAAGCTTGTTTCCTTCAAAAGCCCTAAAAGCCGTATATGTAAGGAACACTGAAATAATATGTTAAAAAGCAGCCTCACTTTGATTCTTCATCCTATCACTCCTGCTACTGTGAAGCTGTATAAATGTATATTAAAATAAAAATACCAAAACATGCTGTACTCTCTCCCACAGTGGAAGAAACCCCCTGATTCCCATCTCAGGCAAGAATATGTAATTTTAACTCTTCAAGGGAAACCCAGAAGCCACTCAGCCATTCATTATCAGAGACTGTCCATAATCCCATGACATGTGCCTTGTCTCAGAAACACTTTGCCAGATGATTTTGCAAACTCTGTACTCTGAACTGCAAAGAATAATTAACAGTTCTTTGAGGTGTGGCAGAAATATGACATTAAAAACTACCTCTGTTACAAGGCACGCATCAGTATCCAGAGGCCATTACAGCATTTTTGAATGGCATTTACACTGAAAGAGAATTGCTAAAAATATAGAAAAACACCACAGTCACACTGATGCCTCAGTCTCATGGGATGTAGGCATGTACATACTTGAATTTCTTCGGAAGTCAGAAAACAACCCGCAGCTTCAGACTGAAAAGGAGAAACTTACTGAAGTGTAAATCTGGAATGCCTTGGAAAATTTTAGCTGATGTTCCCAAGAGGCTTTGAAAGCAGCTCTAAGCAGAAAACTAACCTCCCTATTGCACTGAGATGGCCAGGATGGAAGCACAGAGGTAGTCATTTGGGGCAGAAGCAGTGGGGCATGCGGAGAGGAATCAGGCTTTTGTAAGGCAGCTTAGAGCACTGTGGTCTTGTTTGTTCTTCTGCCCAAGACCATGCCACTGTCAGCCAGTGACACAAGAAATGTCCTAGCAACAGGCATCAGAGATATCAGTAGTCCCCAGCCCTACTGTGGAAAAGTTATCTACCCATCATTGTCAACTAATATGAGAGTGTGGGGAAAATGAAGTCTAAAAGGGGCATTTTGTTTTAACATCTTATTTATGAGGTAGTGACTGCTGTTACAATCAGGTAAATCATTAAAAGCACTAACACAATGACATTCCTAGATTTTGAAGGGGTTTTTCCAAGTTCTCATAGACATGAGTAGATGGCTTCTTTTATTCTCAGTCACCCAGAGAGTATGTTTTTAAAGGCATGATAAGTGTGTGGATACAAGTTAGGGGAAATGGATTAACTATTCCCATGTCTAGTATTTGAAACTGTTTATTTTGTTTGGAGACTGTGGCACGTAACTACTTACTGTTAAGATGGCGCACAGTGTCCAATACAAAAGCACCAGAGAAAAGCTAGATACTTCTGTTGGTTAAACCCTTTAAAAATGCACTTGAGGATATACTAATGAAGTCAGAGCACTCCAATATTTGTTAAAGGCTTTTTTTAACATATTTATCTTCTGCAAATGAAGTAAAGGCACTTTAAGTGTTACCTGAGTAAGGCTTAAGTAAATGCAGTTGCTTGTGTTAAGAGTTTTCTCATCTGCAAATATTGGACTAATGAGCAGCTTTCATTACAGTACAATGAAATCATCAAAAGGATTAATCCCACACTTGCTCCAATTTCAAGATAGACCAAGTTTGAGCTATAGTGGAAGCAATATTGAAATTCATGGAATACATACTGTAACTGTATGAAAGCCTTGAGGAGCAGTTGCAGAATCCTAATTGTCCAAGCAAGTTATAAGCTAAAAGGTGGAAAATTGTAAGTCTTAGCAATTCAGTAGCATCCCCCTCTTGAAGGCTGCAACCGTAGTAGTGCTTAATAGTGCACCCTTACTTTTAAAATAGGCCTTGGTAATACTGGCTGTGCAAGCCTTCTTAGGTTGGCACACTTCTATGGGAACAACGTGGAGTCTGTACCTGAAATAGCACCAATATTGACAGCAAGTGCTACAGGCTCTTCTGAAATTTTGCTTTTATTAGGAAAAGGGGTATTTGATTTTAAACACCAATTGTTAATGGATGTGAGAGTACAAATAAATGGCAGTATTGGGCAACCTATGGGAGTCTCACTGGAACATATTAGGAAGGAGTGCAACCTGTAGGTGGAAAAGGAACAGTCAGAAACCAGCTTTGATTCCAACAATTTTTTGTCTGGGGAGAAAAAATGACACATTTCTCAGACTTTTAAAGTCAGCACTGGGTTTTCTAGGTGATTACTTTTATAACACTTTTTCTGATTTACGGCTGGGCTTAAACCACAACACAAACACATACAACAACTGAAGAAAACAGTCACTGGCGGCAGTCAGAAGAGCTTTGGTTTTCTTAACTAAAATCCTCCAGAAAAATAGATGACTCTGAAAGGATGGATTGACATCAGTCGGCAGCTGTGTTTTGATAATAATAACAGCAGCAATAAGAAGAAGCAGCTCAACCATAACAATAGCAATAGTAATAATGATAATTTCCTACCTGTGTGCTATACGTAGTTTTCAGTCACTAGGTGGTTTCCAGTTCCGAACACCCTGATTTGAAGATTGTTAATGTTTGGGGCATTTTTGCTGGCAGAGATCTATAGCTATAATGTCAAATGGCTGTCCATTTCAATGGTTAGTCAGTATTACCAAGTATATAAGCCCTTTCTCTAGTCCATCATGTATTGCAGAGGACAATGTCACTGTTTTCTCATAGAGATAATTTCTGCCTTTCAGATATTTTACTGGAAGAAATAACGTTATAAACAGTATATGGAAGATAAATATACTTCCTAAAGAGAATATTCCATCAATGAACTTCCCTTACATGTTTTGCCTTCTTTTTTTTTAGCAGCTATAGTAACTCACTCTCAGATCAGGGTATCCCTTGGCTCTTTTTAGTTCATTGAGCATTTAAGTTTGACTTATTACTAGTAACTAAAAAGAAAAATATTCAATGTCACTTGAACTAGAAGTGACAAGATATACACAATGATTTAATTTATGTGACTGTCACTTCAAATTCCCAGTTCGTGCAGACTTTCTGCAGGAGAGGCCTGTAGACAGCTGACTGGAGAGCTGTTCACTCTTGTGGTCTCACTCCTGGCCCATGTTCACAGCTGTGAGATTCACTATAGGGCTGAGAAACAAGATCCTGTGACTGATATAGATGCTGCAGTGAATTTCTCCATCTCCTGTCACAATGTTGCATTTGGATAAAATTAATTAAAAAACACTACCTGCAAAATCATAAAAAAACAACAAACCAGAACCAAAACATCTTTCAGTGTGTAAAAGAATTAAGATCAATATATCATGCTACAGTTCATAATATGTAGATGTCAAAGGATCTACTAGACATTGAAGTCTGTGGGAACTTAGAGGGAGAAGTAGTTTTCTTATTTTCTGTATCACCACCAAACTTCATGCAAAAAATTAGAAACTTCTTTTCAGTTAGAAGAAGCTTTTAAGCTTTGCCTTTTTTTCTAGGCAAAGCAGGCTGGGGGAGTACATGTGATTTGGAGCTTTATGCAAGTGGTAATGTATACTACTAGCCGGAGTGTAATTGTTACAGGAGAAAACAGTAAAAAAAAAAAGGCCAAAGAAGTCAGCGAGTTATGAAATTAAAATAGGGTTGGTCCCACACTGCGTGCTTCTGTCATTAAAGGCAACTGAAATGTTAGTGCCGACAACTCTGGTATGAAAAATTTTCTTGTTAACACAGATTTAGTACTCTGAGCAGTGCACTCTGTTCGTGGGGTAAAAGCTTCTGCTGGATATCCAAGATATGCTTTGGGATAAACTTGAGGTCTATAGGTTCATAGGCTTTTGGTTGCTGGTCTCTGAAGAACTTGCCCAAGAGCTCCATAACTGGTGTAAATATGCCTCTCCCTTCAATTGCAGGAGTGTACTGATTCAAATGAACAGAAGCAGAAAAAGGGGGCCATAACACTGATGAGATGAAAACTGCTTGCCTAAACAATGAAGATCCTGAAAGCTCATCTCTTATAGCAGAGAAGCTGAAGAAGTCTCCTTTATGATCTTTGCAGACATACATGAGTTAAATTTGGTCTATCCTGTGTTGGCTTGTGCAATGCACTTAATTTGACCAAGGAATGATGTCATGAAACTCTCATTTAGGTTGGTAAAGAAATCAAGACAGAGTCTTGGAGGTCCAGACAGAAGACATCATGCAGCATTAGAAGCTGATTAGACACAGAGAAATTAGCTTTTAACTTGCAACATTTCTGATAATTTCCTTGTTTTCAGCCCTAAAATGTAAATATTTCTTATTAAACCAGGGTACCACGTGGCATAAATAGTAAAAAAAAATAAAAATGCATACCAGTACAGCCCTCCAGAAATGTAGCTGTCAGAAGTACTTACAGATATGATGCACTGGTGAGGAGGGTGGGTGGGTTTTTTAATTATGCATGAAAAGGACAGTTATTGGCAAGTAAATGATATTTAGGCATATGAAGCAGAAAACTGTTGTTTAAAATGGAATAATTTCATGACTCTGTGTATGTGGTGGTGATGGCAAGGATTTTGCAGAAAGAGGGCTTCAGTGGTGGCTTCTGTGGGAGGAGGTCAGGAGCTATCCTGTGCTGGACAGCCAGCCAGTCACTTACTGCTGTTTCTGCAATGCAGTGGTAACTGATCTCCCTGCCTTTGTTTTGACCCAAGAGCTTTTTCATCTTTGCTCCATCAGTCCTGTTAAGGAGTGGGAATGGGAGTGGGAGTGGGTGAGCAGCTGGGTGGATAGTTGGCATCCAGCCAAGCTCAACCCACCAGGCTCTGGTATCAGAAAGTGATAAATATTGCAAAAGTAAGGTACGTTCTTATTCTGCTTACCATTTACATAACAATGTGGGAAAAATTAATTAAATGTTGTAGCATTTGACTTTCTTTCCCAGAGCCCACTCCTCTCCCTTTTACTGCTCTCAGCAGTACCTTTCCCTGTGTGTTTTATTTAAGCTGTTCTATTTCCAGCTTTCTCTGGAAGTTGACAGCAGTCATACAGACATGATATAAATCACAACCATCATGGCAAGCCCCAAAAGAGTTTCACTCGCTCACCATCTGAATGGTAGCCTATCAATTTTTAGCTGGCTCTTTAGGCTCTTTAACCTTCAGGGTTGTGCTATTAGATACACTGCTGTCAGTCTTTTTTGCAGGATCACTAGCAATTCCACGATCACTTACTGCATGGCAGCATTCCTGCATGAAGCTATTTTCTGAATTGGGGGCAGGGGGAAAATTTGTTGTTATTTTCACATCCAGTGAACAAGCTCAAGGAATGGAGAAAGCCAACAAACGTGAGAGGCATCATGGCTGGGCTCAGAGAGGAGCATGAGTGGGAGCTGACCAAAATGGCAAGAATTAAACCAACCATCCAGCCATTCCTCAGCCTTCCTCAGCAGCCATTATTCACTACCGACCACCAAGGCTGACAAAACTGTAGGTTTCTAGACATATTGCAGAAAGTGTCATGTAGCAATGTTTCTGAACACTGAAATGACCATAGATGAGTAACATGAGCGTACCATCTTTCAAACACCATCTAGCACCATATGCTTTGTTTAGCAGCCATTATTTTCACTATAACCTGTTAAAACAGGTGAACACTGGACAGGTTAAAATCCATCCTTGGAAGTGAAATTAGTCATGGCCAGGGGTTTAGTTCTGCTGGAATTCACAACAAGGCTAGTCTGTCTGCTTCCTGGCGAACTGAATGCAAGGCTGCCATAGCATTTCGTCACACCAAGCCAGTAGCAGACTGCCAGGAATACAACCCCCGCTGTCAAGTTTTCCAACACAGGACCCCCGATGGCTGCCACTTTCTGCACACCCAAGCAAACCACCAGTAAGAAAGTTGTTACAATTAACAGCTACATGGTTCTTAGGTAACTGCACTTTGTTATGATCCTATTTAATCTCTGCAGCTGAAGATGCTCTCCAAGATATGAGTATTTTTGTGCCTGTAGGATATATAGCAGGGTGGGGTATTTTTTTCATAAATATGTGAACATTTTTGTTTTCGGAAAGACATAGGTAGCTCCTGAATTTTCAAATCCTGATTAAAAAGTCACTTTTCTGTCAAGCTACCAGTTTATTTTAGTATCCTTTCCTATATTCAGAACAAGATTCAAACTGACATACAAGATTCTAAAAGTTGATGTTTAAAATGATGCCATTTATTCCCTGCTAAGCACTCAAATAACTGCTTTAATTTTCTAAAGCACTAAATACCTATCAGCGCAAAGGAAGCAAATAGCAACAACTTGATTGCTAAAATGCCAGTAAATGTTTTGAAAACAAGCTCTCTTTGGAAATGTCTGACTATAGGTTTGGAAGTATGTCTCCAAACACATATTTTTCAGCTCAGCCAGTCCATGCATTTGGAATGGAAACAATTATGGATGTGTTGGCTGGATATGCATTAAATGAGAAGACTGTATGCTAAGCAAAACCAGAGTTTTTCAACTCTTAAACTGACGCATGCTGACTGCTACATGAGACTGAGTATCTGAGTATTTGTATGGCTGCTATATGAGACCAAATTTATGAGTACATATATGACTCTTATATGAGACTGTTATATAATATATGGCTGAGACTTGTATGAGACTGTTATATGAAACTGCACTAGGCAGTTACTAGCTCCAATAAAATTCCAAGACTCTAGTATACCAACAAAACCGATTATCTGATAGAAGGATCTCTTTTATTTCCAGAGACTTCCTCAGCAACTATGGTTTTAAATAACTTCCTTTTCCTTCTCAGTGATTAAAAACCATCACAACTGTACAGAGCATACCTTTTAGCTGTGATTATTTGAACACTGAACCAATCTCATTCCTGACTCAGTAATATCTGTCCCTTGGAAATACAACAGCAACTTATATATGCATCATATCCTTAACTGCCTCCAGAGATTTGGATAAGGACTTGGACTTCAACAGACCAATAGGGTCTTCATGCTGAGGTTAGATAGCATGGTCCCATGAACATCAAATGAATAATTTTATTGTAATGCACATAAAGATTAAAGTTGCTATAGAAACACTGGCTCTAATTTTTCTGAATATGGAAAAGTTAAAATGAAGGCACCTGAAAAGAGTATGTCCAAAAAGAAGGAATGATCCAAGTGGGAACAAGCTGTAATTCCAGTAGGCTAGGTGCAATTATTTACAGTGGTTAGAAAGCATGAGTGGAACCTGTGGAGAACATAAAATTCACCCTATTTGGCTAGTGTCAGCGTGAACATGGTGCTGTAATGCTTTCTTACTGGTCCCTTAGTGGAAGGTTGCTGTGCCATGACAGCCCTCCAGGCACATCTGGATCCTGCCAAGCTGCTGCCATGTGAGAAAGGACATTGCAAAGTGGCAACACAACCAAAGCATGTTCTGATCCCTTTCTTATTCTGTAGAGGAAAACGAGTTGATCTGCATGAGGTGGAACCACAACAGAAAAGTTTCTGATGGAGTTGTACTGATGGAATAGCTTCTCTAGAGTCCAGCACAGTCCAGAGGCTCCATGGGATCCATCTTCTGTTGCAGTGCTGCTACAATTTTCTTCCTGTGCAAATGGTTTGGTAGGTAAGGTCTTGAGACATGAGTATGTGAGAGACCAGAACCTTTCGTTCAAAAGGGCCACTGCTTTCTTCTCTCTGTTATTGCACTCATTAGCAAGTTATGGGAACTTCACCTCTTTGCAATGTCAGATACATATGAAGTCAAGTAGTGGATTCAAATGGAAGAAGAGAGAGGTACATGTGAAGTCTGCATGTGTGCACATCCACTGAGTACAACCTCAGAAACCTTTTATCCTTAAGCATCAGAAAATTACTCAACACAACCCTGACTCAGGGCCACTTTCCAGCCTGAAATCCCAAAGAGACAGACCTCTCTGGCGTGTTTCCATATAATATATGTGGCAGACAAAGGTTAGATGCTGAGCACACCAGGACACCCATTTAGGATTGGGATCTTTCCTTTTATCTTTACAGGCAACTCTTCTTAACTCTGATTTGTTTCTCTCAGTATCACTCCCCTTCCTTCCCTTAGATACCTTCTTTGTGTGGAATATATGTTTTTTCTATTATGTAATGTTACTTTATTTCCCCTTCCATTTCCCATCTATAGCATCCAGCAAAATTTCATATATAATTTGTGAAAATCTTTTCTCCACTTTAACTACAGATTTAAAAGCTGTGTGTCTGTTTTCATTTTTTAAAAATATGTCTCTGGGCTGCATACGTGCAAGATCCATCTTTCTCTTTTCACCTGTCCTTGACATCTCCATCTTCACCTGCTTGGTTTGCAACTACAAAGGAAGGCTGAAACCCCTTTCAGATGAGAGTAAGTCTGTGTATCAGAAGCATTCACCTCTGGGTTTTGATACAGACAACAAAACATGGTTTATTAAGCAAAAGTTTCATTTTTTCCAGTCTGAGGAGGATATGGGTCAAGAAAACGTCACGAGCATGAATGAGCATGAGCATGATCAAAATCAGACTCAGATGAGATTTATTCAGCCAGTCCTTACCTTTAGGTAAAGTATGACAGCTCTTGCAATGTCACATTGTTTCATTGATGACACAGCTTCTGGAGGCCCCTCGTCTACAGGACTCTCACTTTTTAAAGTAGGTTTCTAGCTCTTAGATTTGTGGGGAAAAGCTTAAAGACATAACTTCAGAAAACAAGTAAACCTCTTTTTTTTATTCTGACTTTAAGCATACAGTGGCTTCTTGTCCCTGTGGTATAAATCCCAGTCTCAGTCAGCCCAGCTGCAAGAGCATAACTGTAAATGAAGAAATGGACATTCAAGCTGGGAGGGGTAAAGGTGGCCAAGCAGGAATTTTACCTGCCTCCCCTTTGTGTCACTATTTTGTAGACCTGACAAGGGAACTGCCATCTGAGGAGAATCTGCATGGTCTGATAGGCAATTGTTCAACACTTGAGCTAGAAACAGCACTTGCATCATAAAAAACACTGCAATATGAACAGTATTGTAGACAATACAGTTCTTTCAAAACAATCCACATTTAAACATTTTATAATTGTAATACTGTTTTGATCAGGTCTAAAATTACTTTCTCCATTACTTTTAGCCACAAAATTTACTTCACCTCTTTCAATGTAATTTTTCCAGTAATGGCATAAACCAGGAGAGAAAAATTGGTTTGTGCAGGTTTATACAAATTTGTCAGGTATGATGGATTCAGCAACAATAAATATTTTTCCCTTAAAAAAAAAAAAAAGGAGAAGATTTTAAGGAAGGAGTGTATCAAAATAA